TAAGCTAAGAAGGGGTGGGTTCAAATTTAGGTCCATGATCTGGATGAGAAAATAGTCTTCCCGCCTCTCTAAAAGAATAACTACCTTGAGGGTTACAGTGTCAACTGGTTAAAGATGATATTTCTGAAGACCCACATATTTTATTGAGGCAAAACAGGTTTGCAGCACCCTTTATGACTAGATTATAGGGTCTCCCCTTCAGGTGTTCTCACCACACCATGCCCAGCTCCAAAGGCTCCACAGTCCTCGAGCACAGCCCATGGGGCTCCCTCCCCACTATCTCTCTCCACTCCTTCCACCTCCCTCTGATCGCCTCAGTTCTAGTCAGAATTGTGGGGTTTGTTGTTGGTTTGACTTTTATCTGACCATTTATTTCGCCTCTCTATGTAGACCCAGATTTGGTCAGTGTTCACTTGAATACAAGTTATAGAAACCGAGTGAAGCCAGGTCCATAGAACAGGTAAGATTAGAAGAAAAATAAACGTATATATCAAAGCAAAGGTGAATGGTAAGAAGTCTTTTTATACAGTTGAAGTGTCCGCTTGTCAGTTCTGTGCAGCTGTAACTGACGTGGAGCACTGTTTTAAGATTAAGGTGCACAGCACAAGGATTTGACTTACATCAGTTGGAAGTGTTCCCCCAAGCATATAAATGAACCCCAACAGGCCCTTCCCTGCCAGCCTCCACATCCAGCTCCTCCTGCGCTGGGTCCTCCAACTGCTCCCCCTCAGCGGTCCCCCTCCAACTGCTCCCCCTCAGCCACCCACAGGGAGGTGAGCCCCACCTTCCCTTCCCTTTGGGGTTCACTTCATCTTTCCATGGCTCAAGGAGGTCCCCAGATCAACCACAGATGGCACCTCCTGCTGGGTCCTGCCCAGCAGCAAGACCTCTTGTCCGTGTCCCCCACCCCAGGGAGCACGGGCAAGGATGGACTCTCAGCGAGGGAACTAGTGGAGGCAAATCCCCCAGCCTCTCCCAAAGAGAGTCAACCTCAAAACAGTGAGAGCAACACGGACGACTCCAGTGTCCACACAGCCTAAGGTGGTAATGTTTGTGATGTAAATTTTATTTGGTTTGTATCCAGTTCAGTTTCAAAGTTGCTGAAATGTGTTGAGCTTTAGACTGTGAATTTGTTGTGATAATTGTTAGGTTGAAATTCACCATGTTAAAAAGGAGGATGTGGATAGACGTTGTCAAGGTGTCTCCAGTGTGGTAGTGACATTCTGTGATTGACAGCTGACAAATTCCTTTAGAGTGAAATACTTAAAGCCAAAAAAAAAAAAAAAAAAAAAAATTCCCCTCTTTAAAAAAAGGGGGTTTAAATGTTTTTTGCGTTCTTATGGCTCCTTTTAATGCCCCTGGCTATTCCCAGAGAGAATTTTTCATTTTTTTCCTCTTCCATTTTCCTATTTGAGTCTTAGCAAACATGAGGGTTATGGTGCTTCTGAGCTGTATGGTGTGCAGGCCTGCCCAGAATATAGACTCATGTGGAAATACCACAAAAGTGTGTAAAGGAGTGTTTTACTTCCATAGTCTTTCCTATTGCCTGTGGAGTCTCTGCTGAAATGAATCAGGATTTGAGCTGTAGGGTGAGATGAAAATGAAAGCAAGTCGTTTGCCAGGACACTGATTTATTCTGATGTGCGACAAGTTGATTTGGAACACAGGAACTTTTCTGTTGTTTGCTTTTTATTGTGAAGGAAATTCACTACCCCCAGGAAGTCTCTTTCAGTTATATAACATTATGTTTGATGAAATGTCATGGCTCCATTCATAATTTTGTTGTCTTCTCCCCATAGGCATATCCGCCTTACAGAGCGCTTGTATTTGGAAAGCTTGAAGGGGCCCAGACTTTGAATTCCTGTCTTGTTTCACTGTTTGTGTTTCTTTTAAACTAAAGCTAGCCAAAGCCCTGGATTAAACAGAATAATTTTCTAAATTTAAAAATGAACAAAACAGGTAAAATGTGTTATTTGGATTTGAAAACTAGCAGGAGCGTGGTTCAGGCTAGAAACCCAAACCCCCTCACTAAGATAAATGAGGTGACCTTGGCATTAACACTCCAAATGCGGCTGCTCTGCCCACGCCTGCTTGACCAGCAGGAGCCCATATTTTCACCCTGAAATGTTTTTCTATCACTGCATTGAAATTCTGAAGACTTAAAAATATATATACCAGTTACTGCTCACCTGCCACGGAGCAGGGAGGCAATTTCAGCAGTGATTGTTTTCATTAGCTTCAGATGACTGGTTCTGATAATGAAAGGGAGTGTGCACATCATGGAAATTTTGAAAAGTAATATAATGAACAATATTTTGAACTATGATTTTTCCATCAAAGCGCACATATTTGTTTGAGTTAGCTTACTCTCTTCCTGGTCTTTTCCCATATTGTTAATTGTGTGTAAGGGCAATAATGATGTAGAGTTTGAGAATTACAAAATGAACTCCCTCCTGCTGACCAGGTCAAGAAACATAAAATCACAACATGTCATAATCATCCTCCATCAAAATTATTTCCCTTGCTCTTCATTATATCACCAAAGGATGTGTCATGAAATGTATAATTAAAACATGATTTTAATTTTGTCTAGTATTTAACATTTATTTATTATTTTTTGTATTTAACATTTAAATAAATCACATTATGTTTATTTTCTACCTTGGCACTTTCAACAATATGTAGGCAAGATTAATCCACATTGGATGCAGGAAGAGCCTAATTTCAGTGTTTATAATGTTACCTGATGCAAAGTAATAATTTTTCCATTCTAGTCTTCATACACACAAGGATTGGAGAGAGCGTATTTCATTAATATTTTTCTTCTATGGTGGAATTATATTATCTCTGAGGGTTTATATTCTCCTTTCATCATTTAACTTTGTAACTATTTTCCTGCGACATTAATTATTGTAGCTAACTGCTACATTTCATTTATGTATAGCTGTAAGTCACCATTCCGTGGAGCTTTCATTTGGATTTTTTCTAGTCATTTATTACTAAAAAGAAAGTGCTGCTGAACATTTTTACATATATTTTATGTTTTTCAAAGCATTTCCTAGGTCATTTCCGAAATATAGAATGCCTATTCCTATTCAAAATAAAAAAATTTAAGTTCAAACTTCTCTGCGGAACGGTGGTATGAGGGAGAATTCATCTTCTCAGGAACGAAGGCGCGGACGCGTCCCCGCCCGTCCTCCCAGCGTTTCCTCCCCAGCTGCCGGCCAAAGAGCCCCACGCCAACCACCCGCCTCCGCCTCCGCCTGCGCGGCGCCCCTCGGGGCGGTCCCGCGAGTCTCCGTCTGGGCGCGTTGCTCGCCCTCGCCGCCAGGCGGCGCTCTCGCCCCCTGGCGCTCCCCCCTCGGCCCTCAGCCCCGCCCCGCGTCTCTTCCCCGGCGGCCCCGCCCTCATCATTCTGTGCTCGGCTCCTTCCCCCGCCCCGCCCCTCCCGCGCCTCACTCTGCACAGCGCGACCCGCCCTGACCGCGTCCTCCCTGCGTCACCCCCCACCCCCGGGCCACAGGATGGCGCCGGCCATTCATGCCGCCTGCTTCTGCCCCAGCAGTCGCTCCTTCCGCCACTTCCATGTCAGCGCGCCTCGCCGACTGCGATTTTTCCCACGATACCACCCCAGTCCACAAGACGGCGCTCTCCGTCAATATACGCTTCCCATTGCCCCTGGAGCCTCTCCTTCCTCCCGCCACTTCCGTGTCAGCTTGCGCCAAGGACCGCGATTTTCCCACGATACCACCCCAGTCCACAAGAGGGCGCGCGCCGATTTAACCCACCCTCACTTTGGTCAGGGAGCCTCTCCTTCCTCCCGCCACTTCCGTGTCGGCTTGTTCTGAGGACCGCGATTTTCCCACGATACCACCCCAGTCCACAAGATGGCGCTCTCCGTCAATATACGCTTCCCTTTGCCCCTGGAGCCTCTCCTTCCTCCCGCCACTTCCGTGTCAGCTTGCGCCAAGGACCGCGATTTTCCCACGATACCACCCCAGTCCACAAGAGGGCGCGCGCCGACTTAACCCACCCTCACTTTGGTCAGGGAGCCTCTCCTTCCTCCCGCCACTTCCGTGTCAGCTTGTTCTGAGGACCGCGATTTTCCCACGATACCACCCCAGTCCACAAGAGGGCGCTCGCCGATTTCGCCCACTCTCATTTCGGTCAGGGAGCCTCTCCTTCCTCCCGCCACTTCGGGGGGATCGCGGCCAGTAGAACAGGCTGACACGGAAGTGGCGGGAGGAAGGAGAGGCTCCCTGACTGAAATGAGAGTGGGCGAATTCGGCGCGCGCCCTCTTGTGGACTGGGGTGGTATCGTGGGAAAATCGCGGTCCTTGGCGCAAGCTGACACGGAAGTGGCGGGAGGAAGGAGAGGCTCCAGGGGCAAAGTATGTCGCGTATACACGGAGATCGCCCTCTTGTGGACTGGGGTGGTATCGTGGGAAAATCGCGACTAGTGGAATGGGCTGACACGGAAGTGGTGGGAGGAAGGGGAGGCTCCTGCGGCAAAAGCAGACGGGCAGGAACGGACATCGCCGTCCTGTGGCCCAGAGGAAGAACGCAGGACCGGGACTGCGTGCAGAGATCGTCGTGAGGCGCATCAGGGCACAGGGTGGGAGGGGCAGCGGCTGAGCGCAGGTAGTGGCTGGCGCGGCCCCGGGTCCTGAAACGCCGAGAGGGACTGAGGCCCGCAGGGGAGCGAAAGGGCCCGAGCGCCGAAGCGCAGAAAAACGCCGGAGGGCGCCCCCCGTGGCAAGGATGAGCAACGCACAGAAGCGCGGGGACAGGAATGGGCCCAGGACGGCCAAGCCCAGCGCCGCCTTGGGGGTTTGTGGGGGCGGGGGGGCAGAAGCAGCAGCGCTGCCGCAGCAGAGATGAAGACACAGCCCTGCACAGGGACGGGGCGGCCGAGGGTGCAGGCGGGGCCTGTGTGTTCAGCTCCGGGGACAGGGGGAGGGACATGTCGGCGAGGACGAGGCCAAACGCGGCCGCGCACCCGCTCCCGAGAAAATCGTTCCTACCACCCTTCAGAATTCAAAATGTTTTTATTTTCTCTAAGTAGAAAGAGCGGTTCTGTTTTTGGGAGATGACCTAAGGAAATGCTTTGAAACATAAAAATCTTGACGTGTGAAAATGTTCACCAGCCCTTTCTTCACAGTAACACTGGTTGGAAACACTGGAAATGAAACCCCCCCACCATGGTTAAATGATTACGGGGTAGACACGAAGGACATGGAGCAATTAAATCGATCTTCCTTTCCCCAATCATCAAATGAGAAATGCATAAAGGAAGAAATGCTTGATGAGCATAAATGTTGGCTGTTCTCCCTCCGACTGGCCTGGAGACTGAAGGCAAATGCTTTCTGGGAGAGGCTAAAGGAGAACAAATCAGTGTTTGTAAACGCCCGAGGCATGACTTAGACGCGAAGCAAATGCTTTCTGCTCCTGGCTCGTCCTGTAATGGAGAAAATAATGGGAACACGCCAAGGAGAACACAGAGAGGTCAACAACATTGGCCTCTTACCCACAGACACGCACAGGCACAGGTCCACAGACATTAAAAGTAACAGAATACACAATTTTCTTATCAACAGAACATGTTACTGTGTGACACTGATAACCAGGGACTGACATTGTTTGCGTTTCTTAAACACACTGAGGGGATAAACAAAGTGACAGCAACTAAATCCGAGGGATTGCTGCTGAGTCCTTTGTTTCCTCGACAGTTTTTGTTTTTGTTTTTGTATTTAACATTCATGCTAAGATAGATTTTTTTCAGAAGGAATAAAGGTAAGTGTGTAAAATGTCTGTGAAATATAATGTAATGGAAACTTGCACAACAGGCCTGACCATTTCACAAGTAAAGGCCAACATCTCCAAAGGTGAGAGCCGTCATTGGCCAAATCACAGAAGGCAAGTGGTGGAGCAGTTGTGTCTGGAGAGGGTAGAGACAGCACGACGTGAGGCGGCTCAGGAAAGCAACCTGAAACACTAACACAAAAATTAAGCCAAATAGACGAAGGTGATAGGCGGGGGCTCGCTGCAGCAGTCCTGCAGGGGGGAAGAGTGTCCCACATCCACAAAGGCAATGCAGCCATGGCCCCGCCTCGGGGAGAAACAGACCCTGGCTAGTGAGCGCACGAGGCAGGACCCAAACCACGGAGAGCAGGGTCCGCTTGTCCTGCTTTTAAAGAAAGCGGGGTCGCCCTGCCCTTCCTCTCCCATCCTGCAGATGCCTGTCCTGGCGCGCAGGCAGCTTCACCTCCTTCCAGACTAGTCTGGCTTTTTCTGATCCTTTTCTATGGCTCCTCTGCAGGAGAAGCGTTAGACTGGGGGAGGCTTTCAGGCCTCAGTGGCCCTGCTTTGGGCCAACCCTGTTGGGCTGGGCATTCACGCGTGATGGGGGGGACTTCGGGTGCTGGATTTGGAAACTTCCTTCTTCCCCTTTTCTTTGCTGTGCACGAAAATTCCTTTCCATGAAAGGTCTTACCTGCTAGAGTTTTGTCTTGATGAGGTGGATGGCAGAACCTATTTAGAAGAGGCGGGTGTGGGGGTTCTGGGGTGCCCTCACCATGCTCTGTAACACCTGCAGAATGACAAAGGCAAATATCTGTTTCCATAGCGGGTGAGAAAACAAAGGAATGTTCTTGTAAAAACTGCTGACTCTGAGAAGCAAGCGAGGCGGCTGAGGGTACAAGGGAAGGGGAGAGAGGACGGGCCAAAGGGGAAAATGTCAGGGACTAACGGGTGTGATGAAGGAAAGTTCTAGAAAATAGCTTGAGGGTACAAAGGTGCTGTTACAGCGTGACCTGGGGGTCTGAGGAGGGTTATTTGACAACGACCTGAAGGGGTGACACAGCGGGCGCTGCGAGCGGAGTGAACCACAAAGGCCCGACTCTGAAAATGTGTGTTCTTTTGAGCAACGTTAACGGGACCCATGGGGGGGTGGAGGGGGGTTGACGCTGAAACCCCGGCCTGTGTTTGTCATGGTTGTGGGAGGATCCGCCTCTAGGTCTGAGGAAACTGGGAAGTGGGTGAGGGAGGCGGCGACTAAACTAATAAATAAAAACTGCGGGGCGGAACGCCTGAGGGAGAGTCAGACAGAAAGACCCGCAGGGCAGGTGCATGCATGGCCAACACGGTGGGGACCAGGAGGAACAGTCTTAGCCACAGCTTCAAAGAGAAAAGTCGCGGATGGAATAAAATGATCCCACACAGCTAGAGCAGGCGGTGACTGCCGTGGGCCCGGGGCGGGGAGTCTCACAGGGGAGCCGAGATGATGCTCTCTGGGGTGCTGGCGGGTACCTGGAATATTTTGGTTAAATATGAACTGGAACCTTGTGATGCAAACGCACAGGCTGTTTCATTATGAAGTTAAATACACAGTGATCAAACACTAGTATTTTTAAAATCTCTTCTCTGCTGTTCTGTTCTCTCTGTTCTGCTTTCCGTCTCGTAGAATTAGCAGCAGGTGACGGGAAGACGCCACGGAGCCCCTCCGCTGTGCTGTGTATCTGTTTGTGTTTTCTGTACCGTGGTTCCCCGCGGTAGAGCATCGGAGCCCCCCTCAGGTGCAGGCCCCGTAATTCCGCCCCCACCACAGCCCCATGAGCGTCGCCACAGTCCCTGGTGCCCTTCCCTCCCCTGTTCTGACCCCTCGCCCTCCACCGCTCCGGCCTCCGCCCTGGGGTTTGCCCGCAGGTGAACAGAGCGTCGCCCCGCGGGGAGGCAGCCGCTGTCGTGAGCACGAGGGCGCCTCCCTGTGTGCTGCGGCTGCGTGAACTAAGGGGGCGACCCTCGGTCGCCATCAGACCAAGGCGGACGGCGAGAGTGTCCTCCCAGGGCAGCCCCGGCCCTGCGGCTGCAGACCTGCTCTGGCGCCGGCGAGTGTCACATTCAAATCCTTCCCCGGAGGCTCGGCCACGAGGGAGTGACCGGGCGGCTGTGACTTGATGGCCGAGAGGCCGGCACTGCGGAGGCGGCTGTCCCACAGCAGGGGGTCCGTCCAGAGGCCTGCTGGACCCGGCAGGTGGCGAGATGTGCTGTCACAGGACCACCCCGGCTAGCGGGGAACAGGCCCAGGTGTTCCTGCAGCTTCCAGCCCGTCCTGCAGACAGAGCTCCCCCCAGGAGTAGACATTCCCCGGGCTACCCCAGGCTGGTGGACCCTGGAGACTCTGGACTCCGGGCAGGGCAGGCACAGGGATTTCTTGGATGCGCGAAAGGTAGCCAAAATGACCCTGGGGCACTGCTGTCTGTGCTTCAAGAAGAAAGGACACAGGTAGCAAGTCCACGTGTGTTCACGCACCGAGACGCATCTCAGGATTGTAAAGCATTCCACGCGCCAGTGCACTTAGACAAGAGGTTGGGATTGGAGTCCTCAAAAATTCTGCCAAATGATGATTCATATTCTTTACTAATAAACAATGACCAAATCTTTCTTGAAGTCCAAATCTTTCCTTAGGTGCCACCGATGTGCCAGAGATGGCACAGGGGCGCTCCAGCCTGATTGGTATGTTTCTAATTCCAGCATGGTGTTCAAAAGTGAACCCCTGGCCTGCTGTTCAGATCCCACCAATGGGTTCTCACATGGCCCTGGGCCCTGCAGCTGTGCTGGGCATGGGGTGCAGGGGCCTGAGATTCTCACTGCACCTAAAAGGCTTCAACCAGGCCAGACACTCAAGCAGACAGAGCTGGTGCCACCATAGTTGGAGTCTAAAAATAGTTCGCCACCGGGCCTCCCTGGTAGCACAGAGGTTTAGTCTCAGTACTATCAAGCTATCACCAGCCACTGCAGCACGAGTTCGATCCCCAGCCAGGGAGTTACCCACATGGAACAGCAGACCCCTCCTGTTTCCCCACTGCTCCCCTCAGCAGTGGATTTCAGTCAGTCTGCCAGTTCTGCTCCCCACTCTGTCTCTGTTGGATCCTCTGGCCTCTACTCCAGCTCTTATAAGCATAAATAAATAAAATAAATTTTTAAAAAAGAAATAGTTCACCCCATCAACAGAAAGGAAGATAAAAGCTATATGATTATATCAATAGCTGCCAAGAAAGCATCTGATCAGATTCAACATCCATGAGTTACGAAAACCCTCCAAAACTGGGGCTAAATGGAACATAATAAAAATTACGTATGACAAGCCCACGACCCACATCACTCTCCATGGTGAAAACTGCAAGCTTTCCCCTGGGAGCTTGTCCAAGACAGTCAGGTCTCTTTCTCCGCTAGTAGTCAACAAAGGGAGCACCGGCAGGCCCAGCTAGAGCAGGCAGGCAAGGAAAAGCGAGAAGCACAATCCAAATTGGAAAAGCAGCAGCGGCCACTATTTAGATAACATGACAGGATCCACGGAGAAGCCTAGAGACACTGCAGAATAACTGAAACAAAAGAGCCGGTTCGGCAGAGTGGCCGCTCACAGTCACTACACAGAAACCAGGCGCTTCCCGCGCGCAAACAGTGAGCGGAGGAAGAGGCGAAGGAAATGATCCATTTACAATCACAGCAACAAGTGAAACTCCAGGAGTGAACCCGCAAAAGGAGGGGAGGCCCTGGACACAGAACTGCAGACGTGGCTAACCCGAGACCCGACGGGCCGGAAGGACAGTGGCCGCCGAACGGCCTCCTACCCGGGGCAACCTACGGAGTCACCGCGGTCCCAAGAAAAACGCTCGGGACATTCTTCACAGAACAGAACAGTCGTTCCTGACGCTCATGTGGTGCCACAAAAGGCCCAGAAGAGCCAGTGCCAGCCTGGCGAGCCCGGAAACAGTGCTGCAGAGGTGACTGCCAGTCAGGGGGAGGGCGCTGGTGGGGCTAAGGGGGGGTCGGCTGGTTCACGGTGAAAGACCTGGGCGCTGCGGTGGGGGAGGGTGGGGTGACGGGCCGTGGGGGGTGTGAGTCTTCCCCTGAGTCATGGACGTGTGACGTAAGTGCATACTAGATGGTATCGCCATTAAAAAAATAAAGAGAACTGTGATAAAAAATAAAAATACAAACCATTCACCACATGGATGGGCCTAGAGGCAGTGACGCTGAGTGAGATAAGCCCGCAGAGGGACGTGCTGTGAGTCCACTCGCTTGTGAACTATCAAGCAAAGGGAAAAAATGAACAAAAAATAACAAACCCTCAGACTCCAACGACAGAGTGACGGCTGGTGGGGGGGCTGGGGGTGGGTAGACGTGATGATCGGTTGGTGGTGGATGCTGCCGGGACGCTTGATCACGGGTGTGGTGAGAGGACACGTGTGCTGGACACAGAGAACACACTCCAGGGCCGAAGCAGCACCCACAGGCCTGAGCGTGGCGTGTGGTGGCCTGGCGGCCTCAGCAGCCCTGGCAGGGGTCCCCGCCTCAGAGCAGGCCAGCCCAGCGCTCTGGCAGTGAGGCAGCCCCCAGCCCTGTGTCTCCTGGTTCCGGGCTGTTGGGAGGAGTGTCAGGCCCTGCTGAGGGAGCCCTGTAGCAACTGAGGCCTGGGAGGAAGGCCTGTGGCCCCCTGGGCCGCTGTGGCAGGTCTGAGGCCTGGCCTTCCCTGCGGCCACCCAGACCCGTGCCAACCCACAGCAGGCCCCCTGTATCGCCACACCAGACCCCACTGAAGGGTGTGGGTGCAGTGCGCCTCTGCCCCCTCAGGCTGCTCTAACCTTGGCTCCCGAGGGTCCATAACCAGGAGCCTGCTCGTCCTCAGCGCAGGGACATTTTGCAGGTTGACTCTTCCTCTCCTGAAACAGGACTTGACTTAGCTCCATGGCATCTTCCAACCTGAAGCGTAGAGAGTCACGATGCAGCCACCAGGGATTCGTCCACAGAGAACATGTCTGTGTCACTCTGGGCCCCAGAGAACCGTGGTCATGAGGAGATGAGGCTTTGCATCAGAGACACATTCACAAAGGTGCTGCATTTCCCTCAAGGCCAAATCAATAGAGATAAAAGCGTTCCCAAGAAGGAGGAGGTTTGTGGGGGTGGAGCTTCGGTGCCCAGGGCTGCCTTCCTGCAGAGAGAATTGGCACATAGGCGGTGTTCTGCAGGTGGTTCTTTGCCTGAGGGAGCGTGTCAGAGGAGCAATTTATGTGATGAGGAACAGTGAGAAATGGTTCTGCTGGGCTTGATAAGCCATAAATACCTGCCTAGATGCCGCCCCATCACTTACTGACCGCTGCCAGGAGCCCACACCTGAGTTCCCACAGACGTGACTTTGTGATGCCCTGTGCCTTCCCGATGGCCTGTCTGCAGCGCCCAGGGCAGGGGAATGCCACTTCTGGAGCAGTGACAGCCCAGTGAGTCGGCTCCCGGAGTGACTGCCCTGCTGCAGAAGGATGGAAAGCAGTGGGGGAGGCAGGAGCACCTTCTCTCTTCAGGAAACCAGTGACCTTTTCGCGAAACCAGTGACCTATCACTGGGAATTGCCGTGAGCACAGGTATACAGTTTTCTTCAGGCTTTCCAGACCCCTGCCAGCACCTTCCTGGTTCTCCAGGGCACAGTTCTCCAGGTGGGCCTCTGGAGCAGATGACCCGTGCGCCCTGGGAGCTTGTCAGAAACCCACTTCTCAAACCCCACCAATGTCCGCTGCCAGAAACTCTGGGGGTGGGCCCAACAGTCTGTTCCAGCAAAACACCTGCTTCTCCTCCACTCCCAACTGTGGTTTGATTTCTATACATTGTATATTTCTAGAGGTTGTAGATACCTTTTGAGTCCACAGATAAGGACTGGATGAGCACTCTGCCAGGAGTGCTGTGCTTTTTCAGTACCATTGAGAATGGACCTTTTTTACCCTCTAAACTACCCTACTGATGGTTTGCAGGGACATAGAAAGCTGATGATGTTAGTATAATTGTGTTTCAGGTTGACTTTCCTTGGTTTTGTAAACAATCTTACGAGCAACTGATAGTGACCATTTTTCAATTGTATATATATATATATAAATATATATATATATTATTGTGGCAACACTGTATTTCTGGGCTCAGTTCTATTCCATTGCTCTGGGTGCCTGTTTTTATTCCAATGCCATAGTGTTTTGATTACTACTGCTTTGCACTGCTGTTTGAAGTGTGGGAATGTGGTATCCAGATTCTTTTTTGTTAGGGTTGTTGTGGCTGACCAGGGTCTTTTGTGTTGCCATATAAATTTGAGAAATGTTTGCTCTATTTCTTTGAAGAATGCCATGAAAATTTTAACTGACTTGCGTTGAATCTGTATTGGCATTTTAACATTATTACTTCCAGTCCATAAGCAAGGACTATCTCTCCATTGCTCAGGTCTTCCATTTCTTTTAATAAAACCTCACAGTTTTGTTTTTTTTTTAAAATCATATAGGTCTTTCACTTGCCTTGCTAGGTTTATTCCAAGGTATTTAATTTTGCAGTGATTGTAAAGAGACTGTTTTCTTGATTTCTTTTTCCTCTAGTCTGTTTGCATATAGGAACAAAACATACATTGTTTTTACTTTGTAGCCTGCCATTTTACTGTACTTATTTTTTCTAAAAGTTTTTATTTGGGTCTTTAGGGTTTTTAATGTATATTATCATGGTATCTGAACACAGTGATGCTTTATTTTTTTTTCCAATTTGGATTCCTTTCATATATTTTTCTTGCCTAATAAGACTAAGATTTCCAATATTATGCTCAACAATAGGGGTGAGAAAGGACATCTTTTTCTTGTGCCTGATCTTAGAGGAAACGCTTGGTTTTCACCAGTGAGTATTATGTTACCTTGGGTCTGGCATATGTGGCCTTCATTAAATTGAGGGATAGTCCTATCCTCATTTTGTGCATAATTTTAACATAAATGGATGTTGGCGCTTGTCAAATGCTTCCTCCACACCTATTGAGAGGATCATATGGTTTTGTCATGACTTTTGCTGATGCAGTGGATGACATTAATTCATTTGTTTATGTTGAGCCATTTCTATATCCTTGGAATAAATCCACTCGGTCATGGTATGTGACTCGGCATCAGGGTAAAAGCAGACCTTTATCCGTTTTTGGCATCAGGGTGATCCTGGCCTCATAAAATGGATTTGGAAGCATTCCCTCTTCTTCAATTTCTGGGAAGTCACTGAGTATAAGATTAGGTAATAGTTCATCTTTAAGGGTTTGGTAGAAGCCACTGGGGAAACTGTTTCTGGGCTTTTACTTTTGGGGGAGACTTGATTATTGTTGCAATTTCTTGCTTGTAATTGGTTTATTCAGGTTTTCTTGTTCTTCCTGATTCAATCTTGGAAGTTTGTATGGTTCTAACTTGTTTATTTTTTCTAGGTTATCTAATACATTGGCATAAAGATATTCATAGTAGCCTCTTATGATCCTCTGTATATCAGAGATGTTTGTTAAAAGTTCATTTCTAATTCTACTTAGAATTAGAAAAGTTCACTTCTAATTCTACTTCCTTTTATTCTTAATGACAGGGAGGGCGGTACCTGCCCAGGCATGGCAGAGGAAAAATCTAAAAATCGCATTTTTAGAATCTTATGAACTTAAAGGGGTTGGCACTCCAGAAGTGAAAGATGGATGAGGCGCTTAGTAAGAGCGCAGGTTGGGAGTAACCAGCGTGCACAGGTGTTTAAGGAGAGAAAGCCACAGACTAATTGCCCTTATGGACACTGAGCCAAAGTCCTCAGATGAAAGCACCTTCCAGAGAAGATCTGGGCTTGCCCGGGAGCCAGTGTGCGCTTCACCCAGGACCACTTTAGACGGAATTCCAGTGACTTGGGGTTTGCAGGTGAGTGTCACTGGGGGGACCTCAGCTGTGGTGCTGTGTGAGTTTTCTCACAATATTTCACCCACAGATTTTCTTCCTTTTCTCTTCTTTGTACTGTGACATGATCTGAAAGTGCTACTTAAATTTTGTTTATTTGGATGTCATTTCAGATTTACTGAAAAGTTGAAAGAACACTAAACAGTTTCCTTAGATATCCTTTAACGGACATCCCAAGTGTTAACATTTTATTGTACTAAAATTTTTCTTTATGCACTTTTCTCTCTCCCTTTCCTGTGTGTGTGAGAGTGATTTTTTTGAATCATTTGAGAGTAAGTTGTGTTGCAGATATGGGAACTCTGCCTCTACATCTCTAGTATCCCCCAAAACAAGGCCATTGTCTCACATAACCACACACAATGACCAAAATCAGGGAATTAACACTGATGCTATGTCATGATCAAATTTACAGAACTCGTTGTCCTTAGACAATTATCCTAACGATTCATCTAAAGAAACCGAAGATTATGTGTTACCTTCGGTTGACTCGTCTCTTTAGCCTCGGTTCATCTGGAACACTCTCAGTAATTGAAGGCGCTGGCGTTTCTCAGGGCCCAGGGCTGTGGCAACACAACGTCCTTCCATTTGCGTCGTTCTGGTGCCCCCTGGCGGCCGCGTGGAAGTCCTGCATCTTTTGAAGGCCTCCCTCAGCAGGGAAGTTCTGTCCTTCTTCACGCCCCCAGCTGGGGCACAGCATGCGGATCTGCCCCATTTATAGGCTCCCAGAACACTCCACAGCGTTGTCAGGAGATGGGAGGGCGCTTTAGGCAGGCAGCCCGGATGCTAGAGCTCCGTTGTGTGGAATTGCATTTTGATTTTGTCGTAAAATCGGTTCTTACAATTGGGGGTTGGGATGAGATAATTCACTTTTTTTAGGATTTAACTTATGACTGAAAGGAGAACCGACTCTTAGACCAAATGGCTAACTTCCCAGACAACCCGCAGGGCGAGCTCGGCCAGCTCTCTCGCTGGCGGGATGGAGCCGGTTCCCTGACAGCTCACGCTGGGTCCTCTCTTCCTTCACAGGTACGGCAGCTCCATGGACGCTCGAAACCAAAGCAGACTTTTAGGATTCATCCTCCTCGGGTTCTCTGGGGACGCAGAACTGCAGCCCCTCCTATTTGGGCTGTTCCTGGCTATGTACCTGGTCACTGTGCTTGGGAACCTGCTCATCATCCTGGCCATCAGCTCCGACCCCCACCTGCACACCCCCATGTACTTCTTCCTGTCCAACCTGTCCTTTGTGGACATCTGCTTTAGCACCACCATAGTCCCCCAGATGCTGGCGAGCATCCACACGGAGAACAAAGCCATCTCCCGCAGGGGCTGCCTCACGCAGGTCTATTTTTCCATGTTTTTCCCTGTCCTGGACACACTGCTCCTGACCATCATGGCCTATGACCGGTTCGTGGCCATCTGCCGCCCCCTGCACTATATGGTCATCATGAACCCCCGCGTCTGTGGCCTCCTGGTCTTTGTTACCTGGCTCGTGGGCATCATGACCTCCTTCCTTCACCTCTCTCTGATGATGCCCCTGGACTTCTGTGGCGCCCTCGAAGTGCCTCATTTCTTCTGTGAGCTGACGCACATCCTCAGGCTCGCCTGCGCAGACACCGGCCTGAACGACACGCTGATTTACTTTATGACGGCTCTGCTGGGTGTCCTGCCCCTCGTCGTGATCCTCTTTTCCTACTCGAGAATCGCGTCCTCATTAAGGAAGATCACCTCGTCTGCAGGGAAGCAAAAGGCACTTTCTACCTGTGGGTCTCACCTGTCGGTGGTCTCCTTATTCTACGGGACAGGGGTTGGGGTGCACTTCACTTCCGCCGTCTCTCACTCCCCCGGGAGCATCTCGGTGGCCTCCGTGATGTACGCGGTGGTCACCCCCATGCTGAACCCCTTCATCTACAGCCTGAGGAACAAGGATGTGAAGGGGGCCCTGGGGAGGCTCCGCAGCAGAGCAGCCTCCTGTCTGTGACGGAGCCGCGCGCCCCGGACGAAACGAGGGTGGCTGCTCCTGGGACATGCGTTAGCCTGAAGGTCTTACTCCCGGAACATTCAAGCCATTTTGTTCTCCCTGCCTCGATCTCCGCCTTGTCTCGCTCCCACTTTTCAATCCTTTTAAACAACGAATAGCCCCAGGCTCTCTGTGATGACTTTTCTGCTCTCTCTGTCGTCCAGAAGCTGTGCTCGGGTTTTCTTCTGTCCGCACTGTGAGTTCCACCCGGGGACTTGGAGCATCCGCTACGGCTTTGTAGATAACGGATGGTTCCCCTAGCCAGTTCTGTGGGTTTGGTGTGGGTTTGTGCTGCTTGCGTGCGTGTGGTTGGATCATGGACGGTGGCTTGTTTGTCCTGGCGAGAGGGGGTTGGAACGTGCATGAAAACACGGCTGCTGTGTGAGGAGCAGGTGAGCTGCGCTCCCTGCGCTCCACGCCCGTGTCGCCGTCCTGAGAGGAGCAATCACTCTCTCCATTCTCCAAGTGAGGAAACGGAGACCCTAAAGGCCAAAAACGTTTCTAAAGTTGCAGCGGAAACAAGTGGCAAAACGGAATTCAAACCCTGACCCACAATCCATGTTCTTGTTAGTGGGCAGAATGAGGGGCACCCCAGGACCCCACCCCTGCCCGCCCTTAACAGGTTCTGCCACCCCCACCCCCCCCCACGAAGACAAAGCAGACGCTGGCGCATGAGGCCTTCAGGGGAAAGGAACCATCGCACAACGCGTGTGTGGCGGACAGAGGAGAAGGAAGAGTTTCCAGATGCGGCTCCCAAAGTTCCAGCCCCGCACGGGCGAGGCCCGGCCAGCAGGGCTCACCCAGGGCAGGGCCGCTGAGGCCCGGAAGCCTCACGAGTCTGAAGCATCCTCTGGGGGGGCCCTGGGAAGGGGCAGAGGGGTCGGGCGAGTCTGGAGGAAAGGCACAAAGAGGCCAAGCCAAGGCAAAGGCCGCCACGTCAGCCGCCCCACGGGCCTCTCACCCACGTCTCTTTCCCTCCGTGTCCCCCAAGTACCTGGTACAGCCCCGGGCTGAGAAGCAGGCGCGGCTTCCTCACTGTCTCTCCCTCCAGCTGCCTCCCCCAGGGCTTCCCCAGAAGCCTCTTCCAGGCCTGCTGAGCTCAGCTCCGCCCTGCAGCAGGCGGGGCAGGAACAGGCCTCCCTCGGCTGCCACCCGCCTTCTGACCACAGCTGCGGGGCTTGACCAGGGTTTTGATTTTGTGCACACGTCTGCAGTCGCTGTTACTGCTGATTCAGGATGTGTCTCGTGCCCTGGAGAATCCCACCTCCCGTGTCCTGTAAAGTCAGACTCGGCGATGTGGTTTGAGCTGCAGGCCGGGAGTGAGGAGAGTGTCTTCTAAGCGAAGCCCTTAGGGGCCGGTACATTGTTCCTTATGCTTACTCTGCCCTTGATCTTGTTGGGGCCCAGGGTGCGGAGGGACCCCGAGGTTCTGACCTCCCCGCAGGAGAGATTCACGGGGAGTCAGCGGAGGTGAGGCAGACACAGGCTTCCTTGCCGTGACAGGACACAGGAGTGGGCGCTGCAGGCCCAGAGGAGGGTCCCGCGGGGCGGAGGTGGAGAGGGAAGGTAGAGGTGAGGCTGGAAGAGCACCATGGACTGCGGTGGGGGACTCGGGGGTTTTGGTGCGCTATTCCCTGAGTGGGAATCCTAGACTGTCAAAACACTAACAAGATCTGTAAAAAATAAAAAAATATTTTTTAAAAAGAATGCAATAATTATCCTAGGGATTTAGATACACTCAGTTTGAGGGAGTCTCTTTATATTAATTTATGCATGAATATATCAAGACAAAAGATGGCAAATGTAATAGGAAGAAAAATGTGTTTGATAAGTTTTAACAGCCATTGCTGCAAATGTGGTTTTAGGTGAGCTGGGGAGAGGGGAAGGCAGCCCCTCAAGCCACAAAAATATGGGTATATTTTTAAAGCAATAAATAATTATGACTTTGTACACTGAAACAAGGACTTGTCATTGAGGAACTAGCAGGGATTCCTGTCTGGACAATAACTAATATTCTGAAACTCTGAAAACCTGTGTAAGATGAAAACAGAAAAGAGCGTGGAGTCGTAAAGGAAAGCACATGTATCACTGTTTGTAGACGAGACTGGAGCAGGTGAGCCTGGAGCTCCTAAGATGCAGTCCTGGGGGACATTCACTACCCTTGAAACAAATCCCCTAGTACAAGTGCTTCCAAATTGCATTTGTGCATTAAAACCACCTACATGGCTTATTAAACAAAAAGGACAGTGCTTAGCTGTGGGGTTTCTGATTTAGCAGATCTGGGAAGAAGGCCAAGGATCTGACAGCTTAGGGAGTGCAGAGGCTGCAGAGCTGGAGAAGACACAGAGGACCTGTGCTCCTGTGGGGTCCCAGCACTGTGGGCTGATGAAAGGTCTCCCTTCCCTATTCACCTCTCCCCTGCCTCACCCCAGTAGTTGGCAGGAAACACTGACTCCCTTAGAAAATTCTGGCTGCCCTGCCTCTTTTCCTTCAATAACTTTTCCCTAAGACGTATACAGGGGCTCTCCAGGGAAGGAACCCAGATTTGGGAGGTGTGAGCTGGCTCTCCTTGGTGGCTTGGGAACTTGTTTAAAATTACCCAGACCTTGGAGGCTGAATTATCAGAGCACCTCATTAAATATTGTTTTATTGGAACTCCACTCTTGAAACAATTAAGTTTGCTTAGGGTAGAAGGCGAATAATAGAAATAAAACATTCTGCTGCCTTTTTCCCTGAAGATGCCTGTGGAGAGAGACAAATTTCCTTCTTCCAATTATTCCTGACTGATCTGGTTAATTGAAACCTTTGCAGTCAACAAGAATATTCTCCAAAGATTAAAAAAATAGTTCTTTGTCCTCCTTCAAAGAAATTTCCCAGGACTCCTTAAGAAATCAAGTCTTGCCTCACCTTCATTGAATCTGATTTTCAAGTTAGGAGTTTCTCCCTGAAGTAGGTGTTAGTGTGGTAAAGTTCCCAGGAGCTTTGAAGTCAGCATATTACTATAACAAAATTAAATGCATTAGGGAAAAGTTCCAGTTTCCAGAAAGAGATTATAGACAATGCTGACACTGCTGCTGGAAATCAAGCATTTTGAAGGATCTCTTAGAATTTACTGAGGATGTGATATCACTGGGGACATAAGGGAAAGTAATTGTGAGTAACGTAGACAGACTTTGGATGAGTGGTTGAAGAGAGAGTGGGCAGCGTGGCAATGAAGTGGCAAGTAGGACCCGTTCCCCAACAGTTTGGAGCAATCCCAAAGGAGGACATGAACCTATCAGTTTAATTTCATTGCAAGAAAGGGCATTGGAAATTAAAACAACACATGCAGATATTGGGATAAGCAGGATAAGAAATAGGTCACAGTGTAAGCCCTCTCAAAAATAATTATGCAAATAACTATTGCATTGCAATGGTGGCTCGTGTGGTTGATGGGATCATGTTTGATGAGAGTGTAAATCAAATGAGGGTTTGTAACTAAGAACTAAATGATTGTGGTACTAAAAAAACAACTACTTACATTTGAATCTCTAATTTGCTCTATTGAAAAAACTTAATTTGGTAACAGCTCATCTAATAAGTAGAGGGAGTTCCTCAGGTTTATACCAAATGGGAAGCTTTTACAGATGAAAGGGGTTAGAACTGCACATAAATCAGGTACTAAGTGTTGGTTTGAGTGCCTGGAACTTACTTAGCACAATGGATCCATTTTGTAGTGTTATCTTTTATTTAGCAATTCAGTTTTATCTCTTATTTAGCAATTTAGCCGACTAGTCACACTCATGTTGCCTGAGAAAGGGATCTGAGAAGCAGGCATTAGGACCACCCCAAGGCAGTTCTCTGAAGTTCTCACAGTGTCTGTCTGCAGATGCTTTGTGTGGTATTCACAGCTACATCTTCCTATAGATTTCTCTTTTTTCCCTATATATTTTTAAGTAACATTGGTGTATAAGGTCATAGGTTTCAGCTGCACCATCACATAATCCCAGGTCTGTGGATACTCCATTATGATGACCAACCAATGCCTAATTTCTGTCCAACACCACAAAATCCCCACATTTTCGCTGATGTATCTATTGCCTTCCCATTTCCTTTTGGCAACTGCTATTTTGTGTTTATAATGTAAGAGTTTGTTTTGTTGATGATTCTTTTGTCTAGTTTCTATATCTTCTACATATGAGCGAAATCATGTTTTTCGTCTTCACCTGATTTATTTCACTTACATACTTCCTGGGTTTATCCATGTTGTTGCGAATATTTGGATTTTTAACTTTATTTTTTATAATTGGGTCATATGACATGTGATGGAGAAGATATTCCAGAAGATCTACACCCTATCTTCTCTGTCCAAGGATCCATCAAAAAGACTCTATAAAGAAGTTATTTTTTTTTAAACCAAGTGACTTACTCATTTATATTATGTAGCTGAGATTCAACTTTCCCTGCAGTGCTAATCCAGGTCTAACAAATGGAATTGGACACAGCACAGATACCTTCTTTTTAAGTAAATGATTATCAAGGGCTATAATAATTTTCACCTAAGAATCTTAAGAATTTGTATTGGGTTGCTATTGCTTTAGTCACAAATTCTGATTTATCTTGAAGTGTAAAAGGAGAGGGGACAATCATGGTAAAAGTAAAGAAACTTTAGATTCCACAGTTGTTTTTATTCTGGATCCCTTTGTCTTGTGTAAATTTGTTTGTACAGGCTGTGTGTGCAATTTTCTGTGCACTTGGGGATGTTAGCCAGATAAGAGAATTGATTCCAAGTCCATGAATTCTGACATGTTAGAAAGGGACTGAGTTTTTTCAAGAGAAACTGAAACCTTGGAAATCAGGGAGAAACCTGTGATGAGGAGAAGTCCAGGATCATTAGCAGAGAGGTAAACAAAGGCCTGAGAGTTTCCCCCCTTATTGCATCATGGTGATGGAAGCCTGGGGTAGAAGAATGTAGATAGAAGATCTAACAAGGACAAGAACCATAGGTGGTGCTAGGGATATGTGACCAGTTGTTAAACCAGCAATGGATGTTTCCAGAAATCTGGGGTAGTGGCAGAAAGGATTATTAGTTACAGAAAACCCAACCCAAACTGACTCTAAGTCAATAAATTCCACAGTGATTTACTGGGCATGGAGCAGGGGTCAGAAAGTATTATCTGATACAGAGAATCAACCCAACCAGACCCCAAAGTGATAAAATTCCACATAGGAATGATTTTCCCCTAAGAATACTGCCAGAGCACCCCTCGTTTCTAACAAAGGAGGAAAATTACAAAATGTTAAAAGGAATAGAAAACAGAAAGAGAAGGAGAGACATTCCCTGCTCATGGATCAGAAGAATCAACATTGTTAAAATGGCCATCCTATCCAAAACAATTTATAGATTCAGTAGAATGCCAATAAAAATCTCAATGGCATTCTTCAAGGAAATGCAACAAATGCTGCTGAAATTCATATGGTATCACAAAAGAAACCAAATCGCCAAAGGTCTCTTGACTGAAAAGGGGAAGCAGAGAGGCACTGCACTCCCAGACTTCAAACTACAACACGAAGTCAAAATAATAAAGCAGGGTGGTACTGGGACAAAAACAGACACAGACCAATGGAATAGAATTGAGTGTCCAGAAATAAAACCACACATAATGGTCAACTAATTTATGACAAAGGAGCAAAAAATAAACCCTGCAACAAGGATAGTCTCCTATAAGTGGTGCTAGAAAAACTTGGACTGCCACGTGCAAAAGAATGAAACTAGACCACTACCTCACGCCATACACAAGCATCAACTTAAGATAAAAGACTGGGGTGTAAGACCTGAAACCATAAAATATGTAGAAGAAAACAAGAAAACACTGTATAACATAAACTTCAGAAACACCTTTGAGGACTCCGCTCCAGAAACAAGGAAAACAAAAAAGAATACAAACAGCGAAAGAGACAGCAACCAAAACAAAGAGACTTCCTCCTGAATGGGGGAAATAGTCGCACACCATACAATGGGTAGGGAGCCGATACCAAAGATCTATAAAGAACTTACACAACTCAGCAAAAGCAAAACAAACAACCCAATCAAAAAATGAGCAGGAGAGTTAAAAAGACACTTCTGCAAAGGAGAAATGAAAATGGCCAACAAACACTTCTGTTGTTTTGGGCAGACAGCACCTGCCAGGTATCCTTCA